AAGCTACTGTTTGTTCATGTGTGAAATTGCAATAAGCCAGTGCTTATCAATAACTTAAATTCACATCAAGGTCCAATAAAAAAAATGAGAATATTTTACACTTCTTATTGTGCCACATAGTAAGCTATGTTACTTAAGATTCACATCAATGTCCAATAAAACATTAATACTTTACACTTGTTTTTATGGGCCAAATACATGAATAGTGGGAAGAGGTGCATTTACTGCAGTCAGATTTATTTTTATTTTTAACACAGACAGTCAACCTATAGGTGAGCAACTGAAAACCTGCCCGCGAGCTACCGGTAGCTCCCGAGTTACCTGTTGGAGACCCCTGATTTAGACAGTGTGATAGAATGTGTTGATCTCCAATTGATTGGGGAATATTCAACACTTACTTACACCCATTTCAAACCTACTTCATGTAGATTTTTGTTAGCTACATTGTCTTTCTTTGTCATATAACTTTTACACACAACAGAACCCTTTACATGAGGTGTCAAGCACGATAAAATCTGTTTTACTTATCTGAACTGAGGTGAGATCTCATTCTCACTCCCCACCCGTTGAGGAGTCTAGTATTTCACTGTATGTTCATGTATATTTGATAAAGCGTGTTGGCATGTCGCTCCCTCTTTTATCTTGATAGCAATGTGTTTGTCTGCACAAGTAAGAAGAAAACTGCATTTTCCTTAGACGTAATTTATGCATCTATATTGTAAGTCATCTTTTTCAAATACAGTTTTTTTTGTTTCTTTTTCTGTTTTCCTGCAATAGTGGTTTCAAACCTAAACTGTGAATTACTGTATTACAGTGATTTCCATGTGGACTCAAAAGCCGCTCTGCAACAGCTGTAACTGATTCCAAAATATCAACACAATTGCTAAAGCGTACATTATAAAAGACACCAGTGCTGCATTCTAGAAAACCACATGGATAGATTTAAGATATGGATGTATGTTATCAAATTTAAAGCCAATGTTGGGGTCAGCCACCCCACATGTGGTTTACAGGATATAATATAACAACAAATGAATCAGACAAATGAGCGTGACACCTTTATTTCTACCACTTTCAGGTTATCAGGACGACTGGTTTTATGAAAGGCCTGTATGGAGAAAATGAAATGAAGTCTGATAACGTTAAGGTAAGACTACACACTGTGAACCAGGTTAAACTGCTAGGTTGTTATATAGTTACTTCTGGAATCAACTATACAACTGATAAGACCATCCTTAGATTAGTGGGGATCTTTTGCTAATACGCTTGCTTGTTTAATTACAGAATATGAATTTATGTCCTTTGTTATGTGTGAGGTCCTCTGTGTGTTACATGGGTCGGTCTGAGGTAGTCTATATATGGGGGGGTAATAGCACACTGTGTCTAACACACTGAGCGAGAGAATCTGGCAGGACACGATTCAGAGAGGCTGCCAAGGTGTCAGAACTCAAGTCTGCTGTTTTAGAGCTTAGCCTAATTTAATGCTGGTTAAGAAAATGGAAGGCTTCTGATAAAGGCCGCACAATGAAAGCTGTCGTAAGATGACATTTATTTTTGTTGTATTTAGAAATTGATATTGTCTCTTCATGTGATCCTGCCCTAGGCCTTGTGAGAGTGGTTGACAAGTTGATTGATAATGGCAGGTACATATTGGGTAGAAAGGACAACCCCCAAATAATTGTGTGTATTGTTTACATTAAATGCTATACTTTTTAAAACACAAAAACACTATTGTTTAGATGATATAGACTTACTTTGAAAAGCTGACATTGTATTCTGTGAATGAGTTTTCTTGATTCTTTAATGTGAGGTATTTTAAATTGCATGTCCTGCCTTTAAAGTAAAGATGTATTTATTATGTTAAACTGACACAGGCAGACAGAACGAAAGCAAGAAAAACAATACTAAAACCAACCAAATGAAAGCTCCTGATGGAAACTACAATCCCTGACATACTGATGTGACCAAATCATAATTGTGTTTAATATTGCTAAACCCTTTGTATTTCATTATTCTACTTTATTGTCTACCTGTGCAAGGGCATGTTACTCGACAGAAAGGCCAGTCTGTTATCAGATGTTATACAGAAGGGCCAGTTGGTTGCACAAGCTTTAAGTGCTTATGTAACACAGTTGGCAGACTTGATGTAGCTGGCTGATAGACTAAAAGCACTCCTTATCCAGATCATGTGTCTGGAACAGGGCCTGTTTTATTTACATGCATGCTGAAATATAATCTAAGAACATATTTATTAGTATGAAAGGCAACCATTTTTATGTTTCCAAGTTTTCTGTATCTTCACTCATGCTCGAGTAAAGTCAACATGTTACTTATTGGCCCTTATATGTTCAGGATATACCCTTGTTTTGTAAGAGTTCATGTTCAGAAAGCCAACATCAGGTCGATTTGTGTCATGTTTATTATTTGAAGCAAATTCTTTTCAATCAGAATCGGTACATTTGCACATACAAGGAATTTGACTTGGTGTTTTGGAGGGGAAGAATCTGTTTTTGTGGCGTGAGGTTTTTGTCCTGGTCTCAGAAAGTCCGTGTCCGGGATGAGAGGGGTCGGCCACAGTCTTACCTGCACGCCTCAGGGTCCTGGAGGTGTACAGGTGTACAGGCAGGTTGGCAGCGAATCAACCTCTCTGCAGAGTGGATGATATGCTGCAGCATGCCTTTTTCCTTTGCTGTGGCTGACAGGAGACAGCAGGTGAAGCTGGGGAAGCATGTCTCAGACAGCTTTGCTGGGTTCTGTCTCTTGAAGGTCTTATTAACATCTCTTTCAGTGACAGAAAGAGGTGTCGCTGGGGTGGTGGGGGGAGAGGGCTGGTGGGGTGGACAGTCGTTGAGAGTCCTGAGCCCCTGCTGTGGTGGGGTTGGTGAGTTGTGGAGTTGAGTCGTTATAAAGGATGTTTCTGGGCTGTCACATTGTCTTTTAAAGTGACGGTAGAACTCATTCAGGTTGTTGGCCAAGCGCAGGTCACTCAGGTTGTGCCTCCTGCACGTTGGCCTACGGTGGAATGTAAACACTGGCCAGAATGAATGAAGCGAACTCACGGGGGGAATAAAATGGTTTGCGATGAATGTAAAAAATTCCAGCTCAGGGGAACAATGCTTTTGGATCACGTTTACATCCGTACATCAGGCACTGTTGACATAAAAACAAATTCCTCCACCCTTTGCTTTATCGTAAAGTTGTCCACCTCGATCCGCTCTGTAGAGTTGGAATCCGGTATCAGTCCACACAGCCACATCGCTGTAAAACACAAAACACAGGTGTAGAAAAGTCTTGATTTCTTCCCATCAAGTAGCTGAAGTTCATCCAGTTTGTTGCACAGTGAGCGCACGTTGGAGAGAAATATGCCTGGTAGAGCATTGTGTAATACGTGCTGGCGGAGATGCACAAGTGCAAGATTGCTTCATTGAAATTATTATGAATTATTAATGAATCATTCTAAATTGTTTTAGAAACTTCCTTTCATTCTGTGTTCTATTTCTCCACTGCATTCTCCTGGTCATAACAGCATTTTCTTTTGTTTGGTCTAGGATAAGGATTCAAAGATAGTCTTCCTCCAGAAAGCAATAGATGTGGTGATGCTGGTGAGTGGCGAGCCTCTAGCAGCAAAGCCAGCCCGCATTGTAGCCGGCCATGAGCCTGAGAAAACCAACGAGCTGCTGCAGGCCATGGCCAAGTGCTGTCTCAACAAGGTCTGTACTCTAGAACATGTCATGATCACACACACACACACACACACACACACACACACACACACACTCATACAAACACAAAGAAGGACGTAATGGTTAGCTGGAAAAAAAACAAGACTGCAGTTCTCTAGTGGTCTCTAGACAATTTATTCCTCATGTTGTCTGTGTTTTAGTAAAGAGTGTGTTATTTTTCCACATCAAATACTGTACTCTTGAGGAAATACTCTCATCACCTCAGGGAGATCTTTGCAATACTTGAATTGAGCCCTGGAGGAGGAATGTAAACAGATGATCTTTTGCTTGGGGGATAGTTGTTCTTTAAACTGTATTTTGATTTCATGTCATGAAGACGAAGATGGGGATTTAAATTAATTAACCTCAGATTTTATGCATGATTTGCTGTCTGCTTTTAATATATCTGATAATGTCTCTACAGTAGAAAACTAAACTATCAGAAGTGGCGAATATGACTTTTTTAATTGTTATCCCCTCTACAAGAAAGGAATTTCAGCTACATTCAAGCAGCTGAAATTCTGTAGAAAAATGTATAAGAGCAGATGCTTTCCATCATATTTAAACTTAGACATCTGTTAAAAGTAAACGCCTCTGCACAATGTGTTACCCTCCTTGTTGAATACACCAACAAGGGTAAATATCTCATCATGATATAATGATATAGTTGTCGGAAGAATGATTCCACTGTATCTGATCTGCAGTTATCCAGTGACGATGCAGTAAAGCGAGTGCTTTCAGGAGAAAAAGTGGACATCAAGACCAAGGCCAGCACCTCCAGGTCCCAGGACAAGGAAAATAGAGAGGGAAGTGAACAGCATCTTGATAGAGAGGTGAGAGACCTTAGCCTGCTCGAAATGTGGATTTTAAAATGTGTCACTGACCACATTATCCTTCATAGTATGTGAAATGTTCTGTTTGTGTTGGCATTTAGCCTAACATGATACAGGCTTGGGTTAAAAAATATGAATAATTAAGTTTTGTGGTGTCTATCAGTGGCTTGCAATCAGTACTACCCTAGGTGTTTGTATGTACTATTCCAGGATAAAAAAAGGATAACAGAGCGCAGTGGGAGTCGTGACCAAAAGGACCCAGACCAGCCCAAAGAACAGGAGGGCCATCACAGAGATGGAGAGAAAGAACGCCATCGAGACAGAGAACGCTCTGACAAGCACCACCGCAGTGAACAGGACCACCATGCCAAAGATCGGCACAAAGAGAAGAGCCGTGACAGGGATCGAGACAAGGAGAGACAAAGGGCGAGTCAAAGACAGGGAA